CATTGAATTCAAAACGTTGCAATGATTTTGCTCTTTAAACATGGTATTAAATATACTTAGAGTTTTACTCTTAGTATAGGTAATCACGAGTGTTACTCGTGATTATTCAGGGTTATCAAAATTTAACACCACCACCGAGGAAAGGATCATCACCCGAGCAGAAGATTTTCCAAACAGCTCTAAATACCCTGGTTGAACGCCGATCAGCAGAATTCCGCGGCTCGACCTGCTTCGAAGCCGATTCTACCCCGCGGCTCAACACTCCCGATGGACGCCGGTTAAATCGAGTCTCGAGTAGATATCGCGTTTTTCCTCAAATATTAGTAGACCCTCCTGAATTTCGTACCGACCGCAATTAATTTTCTTTTATTATTTATCACCCGCAGTTCCGTACAAATAATTTTACCGTTCTTATTAATCCGTAAATGTTTCGCGTAGCTTGCGAGCTGATCGCCATTATAATTGTTAACATATATGTTAAAAATAAAACGGTAATGATGAAAACTATAGTTTTCATCATTACCGTTTTACTGTCTTATTCTTTTCATGTAACAAAACCGATCGCACGGTACTTCATCTATTAAAGAAGACAATGAAACTTGATATCAGTCCGTATCCGATTAACGTAAAATGTCAAGTAATTTTATATTGTATGTAAATAGTATTGTTAATAAATAAAATGTTTAGTTTGTAATCAACCGTATTATTATTTTATTTTTTTGAATCAAAAAACCCTGGCTCGGCGAACTAAATAGATTCATTAATTACAAACGTTACAATAGTGACCGTCGCTGTAGTAACTTTTACTATACTAATTTTATCAAAAGTAATCGTTGCTATAGTATTTATTGCTATATAGTAACTGATGCTATAATAATTATTGCTGTATAGTAACCGTTGCTATAATAATTATTGTTATATAGTAACAATCGCTATAGTATTTGTTGCTATAGTAATTATTGCTATATAGTAACAGTTGCCATAGTAACCGCAGCTGTAGTAATTGTTACTATATCTCTACGGAACCCTAAAAAAGTCTAGTAGTAACATTTGACAGGAATTTTGATAAACTTGTTACATAAATATTTCCAAATTATTTGTAAAATACAGGCAGTTTTGTTATTTTTAATTAGTATAGTAATCTTCACAGTACCAGTATTGTAAATTTTACAACTTGTAAAATTTTTACAATTGTATAAACTTTATAGTTCAAACATTTTTTGTATAAAAATTTTATGCGCAGTAATTCAGGATAAAATTCAATTTCGTATATTTTTTTTTCTCTTCTACATTAACAGAAAATAAAATTCTAATCTCAAGATTTAACTGATTTTATTATCCACGCAGAAGAAGCATTTTATCAGCAATTTTAGATTTTGATTAAGATTATGTTTGGATTTGTAAATCGATTGGTATTGTAAGCTCGATGGCACATGTAGGTATATTGCATTAAATCTACGCGATTCAGTGGGAGTTATCAATCAAAGTCACGTCCTTCCGTTGTCCTGGAAAACAAATTGCCATCGGTAGTAGTGTACATAATGAGGATAGTGAAAAGGGGGGAACTCTCGACAACAATCGGTAATGTACGTACATAGGTTTACTTTTGTTAAATTTCCCTCTTTGCTCGTGCAAGTTTTTTTTTTTTTTTTTTTTTGGAGATTATATTTCAATATCAAAAGTAATTTTTCCCTGTTTTCAGTTTACAAGGTATTGCGTGTAGTTATACATGGCACGTCGTCGTGTCAAAAAATTGAGACAAAGGAAAAGGAATAAAAATAAAGACAAACAGAGAGAGAGAAAGAGAAAAGGTTTTATCCAGATGGCAGTCACGTTTCAGTCTCATCGCGGAGGCCGATTCTTGATTGTTCCCTTGTTTGTTTCCGGCCAGAACGAAACGATGAAAACTTATACTACTTAGGTGGGCGCGCATATTACAAGTGTTAGTGTGCACTCAATCAATGAATGCTAATCGTTCATTACCGATCGTTTAATACTGATTGAGGATGTCATTCAAGTTACTATAATTGCCGTGCTCCCATTTCTAGGAATTCAGTTATCGACAACTAATAATGAAAATCAATTTTTTCATTTTCGATTAGTTCATTTATAAAATTTACCTTTTGAATATAAATATAGATAAAATCTAATCTTGCAGTATATAAAAAAAAACAAGAAACATAAAAGTAAATTGATGTTTAATTTACATATAAGAATAAATTATATCTTACATTTCGGTACTTTTGTTTGGATAATAAACTTGGATAATATCAAAATACGAAAAGTAAACTACATATCACATTTCTAGGCCAGGTATGCATTGCTAAGTCAATATTATGCTTTTCTCTACCCCCCTTTAACCCTCGCATGTCACCCTTGTCCGGATCTTGATTAAACTAAACTATATAGTGAACAATATATATACTTTAGCTATTCTTGTGTGCATAATATATAATAATAATAATAATAATTGTTCACGAAAAATGACACATGTTTTTCGGGAAAATAGGAAATAGAAAAATGCTTTTCTGTAATATTATTTTATAATTATCCCAACCAAAAATTTCAGTATTATACCAGAGTTATAACTACTGGTGCAGTACTGGTTCAGTATTGCTTGCCGAGGCTGGGCAGTCTGTACTGAACCAGTACTGGTATTTTCATTGTATCAGTACTGTTGTAGTACTACCCTCCCAGTACTGGCAAACCACAACTGAGCCGATATTGAGCCAGTACTGTCTGAAAAAGATTTTCTTTTTGATTAATACTAGTTTACAAAAAGTTCTAGAGTGAACCCGATGAATCTTTTTGTTTATATATTTTGTTTATAAAAATATGTTCACCTTGATTTTATTTTTCAAAATTAAAATGTACTTTATTTTTCTTCTCTGTGGGTAAAATTATTTAAACAAAAAGTTTTCTGAGACCAAGTCTAAAACATTTTGCAAGATTTTCTTATTGTTTTCAGATATGCAATAAACAAAAAAAATTTTAAAACGATCAAACTGAAAATAAATAAATTTGTTTATAAAAAAATAATATTTTTTAAAATAAAATGAATATAAATTTAATTTAAAAAATTAAATACAATCGCAAGTAAAATTGCACAAATGTTATATTATCAATAATATAAAATATATAATTAACCTTTCTTAAAGTGAATAATAAAATAATTAAATAGTTAATTGCATAATTATATACATTATATAATTATTTTATAAACATTTTTATTTTTACTGAACTGTTTTTATATATTATAAAATCTTTGGTTTTATAATAAACATATTTTTATATTTATTTTTTGATTTTTTAAAATAATAATTTGCAATATATATTATAAGAGGGAATGAAAATTCTTTGTGTTTTCGATTTTATATATAATAAAATATTAATTAGTTAGTTGACTTATTTAATTAATATTTAATTTGTGTTGGGTTTCTAAAAATTTCAGACACTTTTTCCTAAGTATACCAAAAAAAAAATATTACCTGGAGTGAAACTTATCTCTCTGTTACAGTTAAATTTTCGTATACAATAAATTACAAAACTTCTAGTACTCGGCTAGTACTGAACCAGTAGTGGTTACCAATACTGGTGTTAACTCTGGTAGCCAATACTGGTAAAATGTTATCATTCCAAAGTTACGCCAACTCTGGCGCCAATACTGGGTGCCAGTACTGCGCCAGTACTGCGCCATTAGTAAATTTTTGATTGGGATATTATTAACAGGCCTCAAATTATACGACTTTTTTATATATTTTTTACACAATTTTTAAAGAAAATACAACTTTTTTTTAGTAAACAAAACATATCTTTTTTATTTTAATTAATTAAAATTCTTTTCTAAATTAATTTTTTTCAATAGTTTTAAGGAAATCAAGTTGAAAAAATTTTGATGAACAAAATATTTAAACAAAAAGATTCATCGTGTTCAATCTAGAACTTTTTGTAAACTAGTATTAATCAAAAAGAAAATCTATTTGAGCCAGTACTGGCTCAATATCGACTCAGTACTAGTTTGCTAGTACTGAGAGGGTGGTACTGCACCAGTATGGATACTATGAAAATACCAGTACTGGTTCAGTACATACTGCCCAGCCTTGGCAGCCAATACTGAACCAGTACTGCGCCAGTAGTCAACTCTGGTATAATACTGAAATTTTTGGTTGGGTAACTATTTTTCAATTCAAAATCACTTGAAATTCAATTATTTTAAAAAATTTCAATTTAAAACCTTCGAAAATTTAATTATTTCTAAAATTGTTGTAAGAAATTAAAAAAAAAAAAACTAGAACAGTTTTAAATTGCAGAAAATGTATTTCAAATTTAAAATCTTCTGCAATTCAAATGAAATTCAATTTAAAAATTGACTTTTTTTTTAAATGTAAATCGTCTATAACAACTTTTTTTCGCCTTTAAATTCAATCCGAGGCCTGCATTAGTCGTGTTATTAACACATATTATTGACATTTAATAAATAAAAAAAAAAGGAAGCCTCTTTAAATTCTTTTAAATTCCATTTTAATTGCTTTTCCGTTTCTCCTCCTCACCATACCTCTTTGTCTTAAGAAGAGTATGGTGTGTGTGGTATAATGCAGAAGGTGGTATCGTGCATCTTGGTGCCGTTATCTTAACACATCTTTAATTACTCGAGTGATTTATCTGTTCTACTGGGAAATTGTCTTTCTATCCGCTTTTAAACTCTCATATCGCGTAAAGTTCAGTGACGTTCAAATTGTATTCAAACGAGAAATTCATTTGAACACACCTTATAATATTTCTTAATAAATAACAGTAAAATTGTTATTTCAAATTAATTTCATATTATTAATGGTGTTCCAATTTTTGATGATTTTTATCAATTCGAGAAAAAAAGGAAACCAGACGAGAAAATTTCTAATCATGTTTTTGAGAGAGAAAAAAAAAAAAAAAAAAAAAAAAAAAAAAACGTTTTTAACTACCTTCAGAACAAATAGACAGTTAAATGTTTTTATCTTTATTTTCATAACCAAACTTGATTGTGGAATAATAAATAAAATAATGATAAAAATTTATAATAAAAGATTAAATAAAATAAGAACTAGGAATTAAATTTGTAAATTGTCATTAAAATGGCAGCGGAATGGCTAAATGATTTTAATCAACGTCCATTATGTTCAACTGATTTACCACATGGAATGCGAAATTATGATCACGATGCTTTGTCATTTGAGCAAAAGGAAAAGTTAAATTCCATGAAAGTTGATCAAAGAAAACAAAATGAATCGTATCTTTATAAACATCCAGAAATAAAAGGTCTCGTAACAATTTTATTGAGGTATATATATTGCATATCTATAAATATATTGAGCAGTAAATCAATATATTTAAAAATCGAAAAATTAAAAATAAACTTTACATAAAATATTTTATAATTTTTTTTTTTTTTATTTTTAGACATATATTAATAAAAATGCCATCAATGAACCTTCATGAAATTGTTGGTAATTTTTTTTCAAGACCACATTTCATTATTGTAAAAGAACTATTGACATATTTGGAAGAAACATATTGTACAGGTCCAATAATTGATCATTTACGATCATTTAAATTTGTTGACGATAAGGAATCATCTAAAAATAATAATATTCAAATTTCCAATGAAAATTATTTCTCCAATGAACATTGTTATTGTGATGAAAATTCTTTCGAAATTGTGAATTCCAATGAAAATTTGTTCGTTGATAAAAATTGTTTTTCTGGTGAAAATTCTTTTGAAAACTTGTTTTTCCAATGATGACGCTGAGAATAATTTTGACTAAATTAGCCTTCTTCTTTTTATTAAAGCAAATTTACCCGAGAGAAAATATTCTATGAAACATTCAAAAGGTGGAATTTTTTTTTAATTATAAAAATGTGATTGCATTATTTTTGAAAGATATTTTTTGGGTTTTTTCAACTTGAAAAAAGTAAATAAAAGAAAAAAATGAAATACAATTGAAATTAGAAAAAAAAGAATAAAATTGATAATTACATATATATGTAAATTGTTTTTGTAATACTGTGACTAAAGCGCAGCCAAAATCCAGTTTAAAAGATGAATTAAGTGTATATAATTTGTAGTTATACACACCACCCCAATTGCTTTTGAGGAACGAGTGAATATGAAAATTGCAGTTTCCTTTCATGCTTGACTGTGAAGCTTCCAACTGGTTCCACTCGATTGGCCATAACATTATGCAAATCATGCGTTATTAATTACCAGCCAACGACGCTTCTCGCGCCTCAACTAATCGGTCCTGACACGGGCTGTATATCACATTCGCCAATCTTTGATCTTGTTCTTTTATTTCTTCTCTCATGGGATTCAAGATTTTTAGAAAATTTATTCAATGATATCGAGAAATTTTAATATTTAAGTGATGAGAAAACTAATTTTTTCTTGCATTAAAATTTTATAAAAATTAAAAATTATCAATTCATTTTAATAAATAAATTTTATTATTTAACAATAAATGTATAATAATATATTTTTCTAAAAAAAAATTTAAAAATAAATAATTCTATATATTTATTTTAAATTCAATTAATTCTATATATTTATTTTAAATTCAATTAATTTTTATAACATCTGATTTAAATTAGTTTATAATATTTATTATAAATATATTATTTATTTTATAATTATAATATTTATAATAAAATAATTTAATAAATATTTCTATTAATTAATTTATGTTAAAAATATTTGTTATTTTTAGAATTAATATTAATTTAACTGTACTTACTGTGGGGAAAAAAAAAAATTAAACACTGGATGAGTTATTAAAAAAAATAATTCGTGGAATTAAAATAAAATAAACGATATATAACTGACAGTGTCTATCTGAATGACATTAAAAAATAGCGCCTGAAGTAGGCAATCCACATGCACACATGCTATTAACTTGATATGCTCAAGGTGTCAAGAACTTAATGGTAGAAAAAAAATTAAAAAAAAAAAAATAAAATAATTAATGTTCAGAAATATTAAATTGTTATTTAATTAAATTTATTTTTAAATTTTATGAAAATTAAGATAATAAAATATTATATAAGGAAATTGGTGAGAAAATTTTTTTTTTACTAATAATTTTTATTGTTATATGAAAATAATATATATATATAATATAGTGATCACTTGTTTACACTAAAGTACACACAAACTAAATAAGCGAATACATGGATGATCAAACGCGTCAATAAGCAATTAAATCAAACATCAGAGACATGCAGCACGTCCGTCGTCGTATATATGTACGCTTCGCTTTGCAATATTAACCCCTTTGTGTCGCGATTTTCTACATGCGTTCTCGATATTTTCTTTTTAAGAAAGTTTTTTTTTTAAGTTTTAAGATTGATGATTTTTTTTTTTAAATTTTAATTTCATCGAATTTTAATTTAACAAAATTTTTAATTAATCGAATTTTAATTTAACCAAATTTTAAATTAATCGAAATTTTAATTTAACCAAATATTTAATTAATCAAATTTTAATTTAACCAAATTTTAAATTAATCAAATTTTTAATTAATCGCATTTTAATTTAACCAAATTTTAAATTAATCAAATTTTAAATTAATCGAATTTTAATTTTAACCAAATTTTAAATTAATCGAATTTTAATTTAACAAAAAATTCTCATTCAAACTAATTTTATGTGATTTGGATTTTTAATTGACAGAAAATGCAATTGACTGAATTTTAAATTGTACGAATTTTTAATTGACAGAAAATTTAAGACGCCGAATTTTTATTTGTCCGAAATTACAAATGATCGAACAAACAATCGACAGAAAAAGATTTCGGCGCAATTTTTAAAATTGACAAATCACGATTTTCTTGATAATTTCTAATTGGTCAATTTTTGAAAATTGCGCCGAAATCTTTTTCTGTCGATTCGGTCATTTCTAATGTCGGACAAAAGAAATTTAAATTTCTAATATTTGTGGAATTTTTCCAAAATTAAAAAATATTACAAACATTTTTTGAGATGAAACAAAATATAATAATAATATTTATTGCATATTATATTATATAATAATTTAATTTTTTTATATTTGCACCAAGAGAAAAATTGTACAATATAATTTAAAAAAATTTTTTTTTGCCATTTGATAAAAATTTGTTTACTTTCTTTCATACATATATATATATATACATATATATACATATAAAGAAAACATTGTGTCGTTTTAAGCGCGTAATGAGTGATGAAGTTATATACATTTTAAAATCATAAGCAGACGTGATGAAAAAAAAATGGAAAAAAAATAGTAGGAGGTGATTTATGGTTGACTGACCAGTATCTTTTTATTTTTTTTTCTTTTTTTCTTTTTTGCAAACGATTAATTATGTTGAATAGCTTTTGAGAGATCGCCGAGTTGAGATAGGATAGTGCACATCCACGACATGTCGCTTTGCTTTTCGCCATTAGTGACTGTCCGTGCGCGTGAAAAAGTGTAAAAGACCATTTATTTTACTCATTTGGATATTGAATTCGCACCTAAAAGAAATTTTTATTTTATCCCACTGTCATTCAATTTAATAACTATACGGAATTTAATTAAATCAATAATAATAATTATTATTATTACTATAATTATTAATAACAAATGATATTACAATCAATAATTATAATATTAATAACAATAATAAAAAAATAATAATAATTACTTCCAAATGGAGAGAGTATATTATTATTATTATTATTATTATTATTATTATTATTATTATTATTATTATTATTGTAATAAACGTTGTTAATTTAAAAAAAAAGATTTTTAATTATTTATCCACTGACGAAATTAATTTCAGCAAATTAAATTTGTCTCTTTTTTTGGAAAATATTATTTTATTATTAGGTATTATATATGTTAACAATTTGTGTTAAATTATTGTGGTATAACATTTTCCATCGTATATAAAATACATGTATTGTTCATTACAATTTCGTGTTAATAATTTTCACGATTATTATGTGTTACACGCAGCTATTGTTCTTTATAAAATATTATTAACGCGTACGTGATACGAAAATATTTTAATACTATGCAAGTACTTATGCGCGCGGTCTATTCAATTTAATACAGAGGAATTTCAATTTTCCTATATATGTACTATAATTAAAGAATAATATTAATTATTTTAATAAATAGATTTAAAATTTTTTTCAATCTTTTCGAAGATAAGAAACCATTTTTTTTTCATTTTTCTTCATTAAAAATTTTTTTTTATGGAATTAGTGATAATTAGATTTCTAATTCAAATTAGTAAAAATTTGCACTAATTTTTTTTTTTACTAAAGTTTTAGGGAAAAATTACTAAAAATTAGTAGAAATTTTTAGTGATTTAAAGAATTAAATTAATTAATTAATAAATTAATTCATTAAATTAATTTGTAACTTTTTTGTTTAATTAGTTAGTTAGTTTTTAGTTTTTTTTTACTACCAATTAGTAGTTTTTACTAACAAACAGTAGTTTTTTTTACTAACAATTAGTACTTTCCTACTAAAAAATAGTAGATTTCTACTAACATTTAGTAGTTTTTTTTACTAACAATTTGTAAATTTTTAACAATTAGTAGTTTCTTAATAAAAATAGTAGTTTTCTACTAATAATTAGTAGTTTCCAACTGAAAATTAGTAGTTTAATTAATTAAAGTTAGTAACTTTCTACTAATAAGTAGTAGTGTTTTACTTATGGTTAGTAGCTTCCTACCAAAAAATAGTAGTTTTCTACTAACATTTAGTAGTTTTTTTACTAACAATTAGTAGTTTCTTAATAAAAATAATAGTTTTTTTTACTAAAATTTAAAAGTTTTCTACTAACAACTAGTAGTTTTTTTTACTACCAATTAGTAGTTTGTTACTGAAAATTAGTAGTTTCCTACTAAAAATTAGTAGTTCTTTTACGCATAGTTAGTAATTTCCTATTAAAAATTAGTAGCTTTTTACTAACAATTAGTATTTTTTTAACTACAACTTAGTAGTTTTTTTAAGTCTTTTTTGACTAAAAATTAGTAGGAATTTCCACTGATTTAAATTATTAAACGAATTCTCACTAATTCAAATTTAGAAAGTAGATAAGTTCTACACTGCCAAATTCTTGGCAATTGGAAACATAAAAATGGATACCAAACTAAATATATATATATTGGTACTTAGAGAGATTATAATCGTGAATACGGTTCCCCTTATTTTTTAAGAAATGATGATTTTTGTTGACAAGACCAACTGACTCCTGTCGATCAAAGGGAATCAAGCATCTGTGTCGTATAAAGAGCTGAGGGCTCGGTGCTTATACAGTTATACACTTAGATAGCTATCACTGGTGAAGGATGTTGGCACTTCTCGAAATGAGACGCGGAAATGCTTTATACCAAAGAAACAGCTGAAAGCCGATCCCAAGGGCTTTTCATTTCAGATATATATACATATATACACGTGCGCGCTGTCTTGCAGATTTTTCAAGTTTACTACTTGAAAACTTCAAAATTTACTGCGGTTATTGTTTCACTATATAGGAAAATAAAAAAAAAGCATTGCTCCCCCTTTAAGTAGCAGGAAAATATTTCATTTATTTTGTTAGATGAAAATATTTGAATATACGTGTCGGGAAAATATTTCTTAATTATATTCTGGGTTCATTTTACAGTATTATTATATTTTTTAAATTTAGAACTAAATGAATTAGTAGTTTTCTACTGACATTTAGTAATTTTCTACTACCAATTAGTAGTTTTCCACTATCAATAAGTAGTTTTCTACTACAAATTAGTAATTTTCTACTATTAATTAGTAGTTTTCTACTACAAATTAGTAAATTTCTACTTTCAATTAGTAGTTTTCTACTATAAATTAGTCATTTTCTACTATCAGTTTGTTATTTTCCACTATAAATCCAAATTAGTCATTTTCTACTATTAATAAGTGATTTTTTTATTAATAATTAGTAACCACTATGATTAATTTTTAGTTAACATGATTCTAATTGATAGTAGAAAACTACTAATACGGACATTAATTTTAATATTTGAAAATTGGACTTTATGATTGAATTAGTAGTTTTCTACTACAAATTAGTAATTTTCTACTATTAATTAGTAGTTTTCAACTATAAATTAGTCATTTTCTCCTATCAGTTTGTTATTTTCTACTATAAATCCAAATTATTCATTTTCTACTATTAATTAGTGATTTTTTTATTAATAATTAGTAACCACTATGATTAATTTTTAGTTAACATGATTCTAATTGATAGTAGAAAATACTAATACGGATATTAATTTTAATAATTGAAAATTGGACTTTATGATTAAATTAGTAATTTTCTACTATTAATTAGTAATTTTCTACTAC